AAAGCATTGCCTTTATTCTAATTTGGTTCTTATCTTTTTTTTTTTTTTTTTTTTTTTTTTTTTTCCTTTTGTTCCTGCTTGCAGTTCAGAGTTCCTTTGAGCATGATTAGATTATTGGTGTTTCTTGCCAACTTCTAATTTCAGCTGGCATGAAAAGAGGCAAGTAGAAACCCTTGCCAACTCTTGTGTTAGTTGTGCTGTAAGAATTGTTCTGAAGGCAGCAAACTCTTCAGGAAAGTTACAAAGTCATGCAGTATGAAAAATTAAAATGTTGTGCATCCCTTTATTGAATTGAAAATAATTTCTCCCATTCACTACTTTCAGTAAGATTAAATTGATTCTGTCATGTCAGGGGAAATGTTCCTTTGACCAAGTATGCTTTCTCTGCAGAAACCCATAGAAGTAGGGAGAGATATAAGAGAATAAAGGCATATTGTGCCTTTATTGTACATGTGCCTTTATTAATGTACAGCCTCAACCTCAGCACCACCAATCTGTAGCGTAGAGAAATTTGACCTTTGTGTTTAACATGTCAATGATAGAACACTTCCATTAAATTGTCCACTCAGCTTTAGAATGCATGTAAAAGTTTTTCATCCACAACTTGTTGTACCAGTAAATTCTGTGATTGAGCTATGTCAGTATTTACATTTCTGTTTTTGAATCTTGAGAGCATCACTGTATGTGTCAGAGCTCTCATTGTGAGAAGAGACAGTGATTATTCCTATCCACTTCCCTTATGGTGCTTGTCTTGGGGATGGCCCTCTCTGGATTACCCTCTTCCACCCTAGTCATCTAATGGTACACATGCATGATCCTGATGACCTTGGTTAGTGCCTTTCTTTTCCTATGTTATAGATTTCAGATGGGACATAAAGGTATTGACAAGGTACCTGTATGTTGTTCAAGATTCAGGTGCACTATGGACTTACACAATGGTACAGTGATGTTTCTGATTCACTCTGGACTTGTCCAAGTGATTCCATGTGTCCCGTTTGCTTGTTCTTTCATTACAACTGAACAGTGAGGTGACATTTGCATGGAATTGTCTATTGTAAAACTTCCCAGAGTGCTAACAACTGGCTCGCAGTCTGTTATCATTCATGTAATTAGGATTGCCTTCTTCACATTTTTTCTACAAATAATTTAATCTATTTTATTACCTAGCCATTCAAAATCATGAGAACTTTTGCAGGCAGATTTATTTTTACAATGCTGAATGATTTTAGTTTAGATTATTATATCTTACTGCCTCCCAGGTCACCTCCTTTTCCAGGTCACTTATGACTGCACTGACCAGTTCATGCCATTGCACAAATCTGTTCTCCAAGAAAGCTAACCATCTTCCCTTCTGCTTCCTTGGCAGAACCAGACTAAACTGACCTATTGTTCAGAAATTTCAGAGAAAAGCATCACATTTATCTGAATTTGAATTATAAGAAGACATTTTCTCCTACAGAAAATAATAATAAATAAATAAATATTTTACATGGCACCAAAAAAAAAAAAGTTGAGAAAAACAACATTTAGATGATGCCAATGCAAATTTCAAATCTGAACTTCTATAAAACACTTGTTCTAGAAAAAAAAAAAAGAGAGAGAGAGAAAGAGAGAGGAGAGAGAGAGAGAGAGAGAGAGGGAGAGAGAGAATGACAAAATAGAATATTTCCATCAAAAATGAAGTTTGTTTCCACTAGATTAATTGAAATCACTCATTGTTCTGACTATTGTACCAGCAGTTTGCAATGGGAAATAAATAAATAAATAAATAAATAATGGAGTATTCTGTTAGTATATTGTTTTAAGAAATTAACTTCTCTTTTATTTGTTCTCTGTATTAGAGTAGTGTTTGGGAATTAAGATGTGCAATGGTGAACAGCAAATAAGAAAACTTCTTATCTTCAGGAAGCATTTATAGTTTCAGTGTCGTATATGTTCTGGACTGTTTTCTCATTATTGAGATGTATTAAAATTTTTCAGTAACAGCAGTGAAAATGGATTAGTACAGTTTTCTATATGTGTGATAATATTGTATTACGGAGCTGATGCAAACTTTTTTCATTGCTGCTGTTAATCTGTTGTTGATTATCAAAGGCTAAGTCATTAGTATAATGGAGTACATCTTCTCACTATGATTTCAGTGGAGCATATCTAATAAACTAAGGCATCTGAAATTGGAATGTAATAAAAATGTACTATTTATGTTAATAGAATATTCCTGTTGAATGAGTGCTGCTAATGAATCTGCTGTGAAGCCGAGCTTGTAATTAGTCAAGGGTTATGGAAGAATTTGCACAATAAGACAGTGTTTAGATTTACAGTGACAGCTTGTCATCTGTTAAAAATCTTTGGGGTGAAATATATATATAAATATTTCAGTATATATATATTTAAAGTACATATATAATTCTTTAAATGAAACTTGCTGTTCAGATAAGCAGATAAGTTATATTTGTAAAGGTGGTTATGGTTGTTTCAGTTTTACTCAAACAACATTTTTATGGATGAAGAAGAGAAACACAAGTGATTCTTTACTTAGGAGGATTTAGGAAAGAGGATTGTCAGGTATTGTGGAGAAGGATGTTGATGCCGTCCAGTAACTAAACAGCCTTCCCTTACTTTCTTTCATTTAAAAAGTTATACATCTTCTTTCTCTTTTATAAAGGGATTGTAATGTAAAATTCTAAATGTGAAAATTATAGATTCAACTTCTTTTCTGGAAAATAACATAACCTTTTCAGTAGTTTTACAATTAATAAAATGCTAGTATTTTGGCATCCTAGGAAAACAGAAGATCTAGCTGTTGGGATTTGTGACTGAAAGGGAAATATAAAAGCACAGTCAACTTGCAGAAGATTCAGTAGACAGCTTTAAATAAATGGTGCGGGGAAGGGAGTGAAGTTTACAACTGGAGAGATTCAGTTCTTCATCCTGTAATCTGCCTGTCCTGCCAATGTTAATCTCTCATCCATGAAGAAGCCATATTTTGATTTCACCAGCACTGCTGATGAACCCTGCTCAGAGAGGTTTTGGAATCTCCCTGCTAGGAAGCTGTCTGAACATGACCCTTGGCAACCTGCTGTAGGTGACCATGCTTAACCAGAGGGGTTGTCCTTCCAACCACAACCATTCTGGGATTATGGGATTATGGGATTCAGTACTGATAATGTTGGTGCCTGTTTCCTTTGATAGTGAGGAAATCACCCAAACCATGTAGCTGGTTCATCTCAAGAAGCAAAATACCTCTTTCTCAAGATAGGACAAATGTAGTCTGACATGTTTAGACAGGAGGTGTTCTGTGAATTAGGAGTATTTGAGTCTTCTTGTAAATATATACATCTTTTTCACTGGTGCTCTCACTCTGGAATATCTGCTACATGTATGTTAAAGGTAAAGTTAAGATCACTGAAGATAGTCTGCAGAATTAGGAAGCTTTTTTTTCTCCATGTCGTGATCATAGCCTCAAAAATGCTGACCTGACTAGCAATGTTTCTTCAAGCAGAGTCATTTAGCGCCTAGGTGGGGAGGGGGATCCTAGAAACTTTGTATTGAAACCCTGTGTTTCTCATGTGTATTTCTTGTACATGGTAATGGACTTTTGAACAATTGTCATGGATCTTAGCCTGTTAAGAATTATTTTACATTTGTTACCCTATGCTTATTATTACTTCTAGTAACAAGACTTCTGTTCTAGAAAAAAATGCAGTAAAATGGCATACACATTTTTAGTCTATGTTGTGTCATCAGATGCCACCTTTCTTGATTTCCTTAGAGTATAAAAAACAAACTTCAATACAAATCTCAAATCTGATTATAGCTCAAGCTTACTACTCCTCCTTGAACAATTTCTACCTAATTATCACATTTTTCTTATGTATTAATTACAGACCAGTATGTTTTCAGATAAAAGGAACAGCTTCTTCTTCTTTACCTACTATTCACTGATTTATTTTTTTTTCCCTGTGGAGTTTGTAAGTATGAACTTCACAAAGGCTTGTGGGTCTATATTTATGAACTTAATGTGTTACTCCTCCATACTGCTCTCCTTTTAAGAATGAATATTCATAACATTAAATGTATAATGAGCTATGTGCACTTTTAGGGAAGAGGCTGAGTCAGAAAAAGTTTTATGACTTGTTCATACTTCAGATGTTAGCACAGAAGGGTATAAAGGCCATGTATTCTAAATCCTAGACTTGTGCTTCAGCCATAAAATGTCTTCTAAAAAGTTAAAACATTACAATTAGTAATTTGACAAAAGTATAATGACTTTTCTTGTCACCTGAATACATTAGAAATTACTCAGGATGAATTATACTAGCATGATCTATGATTTAATCGACAGATTATTGCTAGATATATCGCTGCCAGCACACTTATTCCAATGATTAAATTTCAGTCCCTTAATTCTTTGTCCCCTTGTTGGTTCCTAGCAGGAACAAACAAGTAAATAAATAAATAAATAATGAAATGAAATGAAGTCCATTTGCTTAATGAATGTTAAGTATCACTATCCATTTGTGTATGGCTGTAGGAAGTGCAGGCAGCTATGTACTGCATAGATGTAAATTCAAGATTTTCCTAAGAAAAAATCTTCAATGATGCTAACCTTTCAGTACAGAAAGGCACATCTTTGCTAATCAGATGTCCCTGAAGACCTAGTGTTTCATGATGAACAGTATGATTCAGCCTGCACACAGGAACTCATAGACCTTTGCAGTACCTATAGACCTTTGCAGTTTGATTAAATAAAGATAATCCCAAAATATCTGCCCTTCTGTTTAGTTAGAGGACAATATTTACTTACTGCAGACTGTGCTGAAACTGAGACTAAAATCAATCAAAACCAATAGTTCCTGTTAAATACATTAAAGTTTGTGCCTGAAAACACCTATGATCTAGCAAAATTCCTAATGATAAACAGTATCAATGTCGTTCTTTTTGTAGGTAGAAACACTTCCACTTAATGTCTTTTTTTTTTTCCCTGTCTTTTATTCTAGATGCAACAATTGTTTCATGAAAACTATGAACATAATCGGAAGGGTTACATTCAAGATCTTCACAACAGCAAGATTCACACAGCCATAACCCTTCATCCAAACAAAAGACCAGCCTACCAATACAGGCTTCACAATTATATACTGAGCCGCAAAATTTCTGAACTGCGCTATCGGACCATCCAGCTCCATAGGGAACGTGCCCTCATGAGCAAGCTCAGTAACAGTGAAATAAATAAAGAAGATCAGCAACTGGGAGTGTTACCATCTTTCAATCATTTCCAGCCACACGAAAGGGATGAAGTCATTGAGTGGGAATTCCTAACAGGAAAATTTCTTTACTCAATGGTGGAGAACCAGCCACCCCGGCAGAGCCTGAGCAGTGTCCTGCGGGCTGCACTGGATGATGCTGTAATGCAAGTCATGGAAATGATAAATGAGAACTCAAGATCTAGAGGAAGGCTGATTGATTTCAAGGAAATACAGTATGGCTACCGTAGGGTGGACCCTATGCATGGAGTGGAGTACATCCTGGATTTACTACTTTTGTACAAAAGGCACAAAGGAAGGAAAGTTACAGTTCCAGTGAGACGTCATGCTTACCTTCAGCAATTGTTTAGCAAACCTTTCTTCAGAGAAGCAGAAGAACTGGATGTAAGAAGCCTGCTGGAGGATACCAACACTGACACACAATCTTTTTCTTTTCTTTCAAATTCTTTAAAATTTTTTTCCTCATCGTTCCAAGGCACCAAAGACATTGAGGGACACAGTGACAAGAAAATACATATTCTTGTCCCTCTTATGGGAAGATTTGACATTTTCTCAAGATTTATGGATAACTTTGAGAAGACTTGCTTGATTCCCAGGCAGAATGTAAAGTTGGCAATAATTCTCTTCAGTTCTGAGTCAGGCCAAGACTCCAGCAAACACATAGAACTGTTGAAAGACTATAACATTAAGTATCCTACAGCAGATATGACTCTGATTCCTATGGCAGGAAAGTTTTCCAGAGGTTTAGGTCTTGAAATGGCCTCATCTCAATTTGACAATGGCACCTTGCTTCTGTTCTGTGACGTTGATCTGATATTCACACCAGACTTCCTCCAGCGATGCAGAGAGAACACTATTCAGGGAGAACAGGTTTACTACCCTATCATCTTCAGCCAATATGATCCAAAAGTAGTATATGGAGGCAATCCTCCAGCTGACAGTAGTTTTGTTTTCACAAAAAGAACTGGATTTTGGAGGGAGTATGGATTTGGAATAACCTGTATTTACAAAAGTGATCTACTTACTGCTGGTGGATTTGATACCTCAATTCAAGGCTGGGGACTTGAGGATGTAGACCTCTATACTAAAGTGATAACATCTGGCTTGAAGGCTTTTAGAAGTCAAGAAGTCGGAGTTGTTCATATTTTTCACCCAGTTCAGTGTGACCCCAATTTAGATCCGAAACAATATAAAATGTGCTTAGGGTCCAAAGCAAGTACATTTGCTTCTACCATGCAGCTTGCGGAACTCTGGCTAGAGAAAAATTTGGGTGTCAGGTACAATCGAACTCTCTCCTGACATATCAACTCATTTGGCCTTTTAAGGGGAGTTTACCTCATTATTATTATTATTATTATTGTTATTATTGTTGTTATTATTTTATTTTGCTGTTGTATTTTTAAACTCCCTCTTTGTTGTCTTCCAAAGACTGTTGACCTCAAACAAGATGAGTCTGCTGTTCACTGATGTTTCTTATACCTACTGAACTGGTTAAGTGAATTCTGTCAGTTTTCCTTTATTTGAAAGTCAGTCAAGTCATGGCAATCATATGATCCCGTGGAGCACATCCATCATGAGAGACTGCATCAGAGGAGTGTTCTCTTTTGACTTTAGGATGCAGTATCATTTTTGTTGCATTTCTCAGACTTGATGTGATACAAATATTTACTGGTGAAGGTACCACAAAAGTGCTTTATGCTTCTTCTGGGGATGGAACTCTGTTAGATAAACTTGAGTTTTATAATTTATATCAGGACTTATATGTATAAACACTACTTTTCTTCATCTTTAAAATTTTTAAAGTAAATGAATAACTATGATTGTAACTTTATTTTTAAAAAAAAAGAAAAAAAAAGAAAAACTGAGGAGTTACTTGCGAATGCAACTGGTACTGGCTACCAAGGTCCTTAAATGTCTTATTAGAATAACAAACTCCTCATTATTATTCATTCTAAGTGTAAATGAACTTTATTTTCACAAGAAACAGAATCTAGTCAAATCCTCATGTACACTTTAGGACATTTGTGAACCAATGTCCTACATTTGCAGGCAAGAAACTATGACACAAAATAGTAATTTATGATAAAGTGCAGGCATACAGTATTATTTTTTCAAGCATATAGTATAAGTTGCCGTTTCTCTTTTTAGAATGAGTCTCTAATATATAATTTTCTTTTACATTCCCTTCTTGAGGCTGCACTTGATACAGAGTGTTAGAAGTAAAAGCTGTATCTTTTTTATTTTTATTTTTTTTTAATGTTTTTCGTGAATATTGGTACTCGGAAGCAATTTGGTGTTAAAATTAAAGTAATTGTAGAATAATTATTTAAGTTTCAGAATTTACTATTGCTGGTCAAAATTCCTTGCCAATATATTTATATTAGTGGAGGTTGTAAGACTATGTTAAGATCTATCTCTCTGGACAGCCTGACGTTGTCATATTACCAATTGACAGAGTAAAGTATTTAAAATGATACCAACATAAGGAATAATGAAAACAACTTTTTGTATTTTAGATAAATGTTTATATGGGGATATATATTTATGTGTGTGTGTGAGTGTGTGTGTGTGTGTGTGTGTGTGTGCTTATGTCCCTATATATATATATATATATATAAATAGAAAGAGAATCATTTCAAAAGGTGGTCTTTTCAGTTCAGGTAGTGATTTGTTGCAATTATTTTTCCCACATGCTTGTAACATTTCATGTTACAATTTGGTTAGAGCTCAAAGTCATGCAAGAAACCATCAGCATTCAGCCAAACTTAAGTTAACACAGTGGGTACATCCAATAACCTCAGTACCCTGGATTTCAAATTGTATTTCAGAATGAACTGGGCAAAAGAATGCAAGCAATTGCTGAAGTTTTCACATGCTAAATACTTTTTCAAGAGCAACTGACCTCCTCTGTGTTTCCTTTCAAACTACAACCAGGAGATTGGAATTCACTAACGTGTCTTTTTGTGTGAAGATACCCTGATAAATTTCCTAAGGCACTGGGAGGTTGCATAGGTCAGTTAATATCTCTTTTCTATGGGTGGCTGTTCTGCATTTGCTATGCAAGGAAAAAGGCATCCCCAAAAGGGAATAAGTAAACTCTGAGTCAAAGGGCTGGCTGTGGCCTTTTTGTATTCTTTAAACATAGTCATCCCCATTGCCTTGGAACAGGTAGTATTTGTGCTAGATCAGAACAGATTCATGCTTTTCTCCCCTCCCCAAGGAATGCTCCTGGCTTGTTATTCTCATGGAGGCTCTTTCCTTCCTAGCTCAGTTTTGTTAGCTCAGATATTTGGGGAAAATAAAATTTAGTATTAATTATGAAGGATTTCTTGTGAACTTCTCTTTCAGCTTGAATGAGTGCAAAGCTCTTTCTATGGTCAGCTAGATAGCCAAGAACAAGAAACGTGTTTTATTTGATTAATCTCAGCTAACTGACGCAACTCAGATTGCAAATATCTGAAAATGAATACCCGTTGATAAATGTTTGTGATGATTTCATAAACATGAATGAAAATAATGATTTACAAATAAGTGTAAAGAGATAATTATCTGCTGAGGTATAATCCAGTGCTTATTTCATTTTTTAGTTTAGTGGACAGAAAGTATTTGTTCAGCTCAAAGTAAAATAGTAGACTAGAACAAGAAATGGAACCAATCATTCAATGGGGATCAAGATGTATACAGAGGGCTTGCAGGATCAGGTCCTAAGTGATATAAGCAAAATGCTAGTATTTACCAGTATGAATATTTATTTAGTGTCTGACTGGTTCATTTGTTTATATGATGAATTACTTTGTTAAAAAACTGATTATAAATGTTTATTATGAAATATTGCATTGTCTTTTGAAATAACTATCCTGAGATAACTTGAGAACTTGTGTTAGTTTGTTTAAAGAATAATATGCCTTCTATGGAGATCATATTAAAAAAAAAAAAGAAAAAAAAAAGAAAAAAAAAAAGCACAAAAGTGTTAGAGTAATGTTATGGATGTATAGATTAAGATGGGAATGTCTGTGCTATTCAACTGTTTGCTTTTGTCTAGTCTGAATCATAATCTTGATTGTAAAATGAAATTTCTATGTGTACGATGTCCCTTTGTAAATGCGTAATTAATGGATTCACAAAAAAAGAGCATAATGAGCAATTCTTCCAAAAACTGCTCACTCTGGAAATAGGTTTCCTGGTTTCATTGCTATGAAGCAGCTTGCAAACTACTTGCACTCTGGCTTTAGACACTGCTGTTCTTAAAACAATCTCAGAAATACAGAGAATCAGAAATACTGACACCAGCCCCATACTGACATGGTTTTCAGCTCACAGTACTTAATTTAACAGAGCATTTATATCTTCCAGATGAATGAAAGACATCAGGCTGGGCTTCCTAAGAATTGCTGAATATACCCTGCAGCAGAGTATACTTGCTCTCAAGCTGGGGAAAGGCAGAAAGCTGGGGGAAGGTAAGTGGTTTGGCCAAAGGAGTCTACACCTTCTGCCTAAGGCACCTCCTTGGTGCTACCAGTGCTGCTGGATGCCTTTCCTTGGAGCTACAAGTGGGCACATGAAGCTGCTTGCTGCTGCTGGCTGCTTTTGGGAAGTAAAAAATAAAAACAAAAATAGAAATAAAAATGGAAATAAAAATAGAAATAAAAATAAAAATAAAATAATCAGGACTTGGGAGGAGTGAATGGAGGATGTCAAACTGAGATTTTATTGGGTTGGGGTGGCATGAATCCTTGTGCAGACCCTCAGTCACCCTGTCCCCAGGTGGAGAGGGGAGTCTGCTTCCTTTCAAGTTCCCTATTTCCTCTCAAAGGACTTTGTGAAGGAGAGGAAAGACAAAATCAGCAGTCCTTCCACTCAGCTGGGGAGGGCAAAGGAAGGCTGGGGGATGACGCTTCACTCTTGAAGATCTACCATATTGTGGGAAACATGGGAAAAAAGGTGCCAAAGGCTCTGTGCCAAAAAGCAGGACAGACTTGTCTTCTCACTCACCAAAGACTATAAGGATGAGCACAAAAGTGCCTTTGGGAGACTGTACCACTGTGTGGTCAAGAGTGCTACACTTCTCTTGCAAAAGTTATAATAAGGGTAATATGCCTCTTAGGTGTACACTGCAGATCCTGAGGAAATACGGAGATTTCCAAGGAGCATGAATTAACAACCACTTTCTTTAAATAGAACAAATAAGTAATTTAAAAATCTCTTGGTTTGGTAATTAGTTAACACATACCTTGCCACACAAGGGATTTTTCTCCAAACAAAACTAGCTTTAAGATAAAAACAAAGCACAGCCGCAGTCTACATCTTTTATTTCCCTGCATCCTCAAATCAATTAAAATTATTGGAGAAAACTAAGGACTAAGAACAGGTGAGTTTCTGACTGGAGGACTGTTCTGTGCTTCTGCTCTATTTTTTCAAAAAAGAACCAGATGAGGTTCAGATGATGAAAAGAACCTCTTTTGAAGAGAAGAAGAGGGAGAAGGGGAGGGAGAGGGGGAGGGAGAGGGAGAGGGAGAAGGAGACGGAGAAGGAGAAGGAAGGAGAAGGAGGAGGAGGAGGAGGAAGAGGAGGAGGAAGAGGAGGAGAAGGAGAAGGAGAAGGAGAAGGAGAAGGAGAAGGAGAAGGAGAAGGAGAAGGAGAAGGAGAAGGAGAAGGAGAAGGAGAAGGAGAAGGAGAAGGAGAAGGAGAAGGAGAAGGAGAAGGAGAAGGAGAAGGAGAAGGAGAAGGAGAAGGAGAAGGAGAAGGAGAAGGAGAAGGAGGAGAAAAGGGAAAGGAAAAAAGGAAAATTAAAAGAGGGAAAGGGAAAGGGAAAGGAAAGGGAAAGGGAAAGGGAAAGAACAAGAACAAGAACAAGAACAAGAACAAGAACAAGAACAAGAACAAGAACAAGAACAAGAACAAGAACAAGAACAAGAACAAGAACAAGAACAAGAACAAGAACAAGAACAAACAAGAACAAGAAAGAAATGCCTGTAATTAATACATACAAAAATCATCCACAAAGTGAGGGTAGCAGTGAAGATTAAGGTCCAAAATTGCAGCACAAGATGTTTGACAAGAGTCTATCTATTTACAATATCTGATTACCACTGAAGGTTTTTTCTCTAAGTCTGTATGTAAGTAACATATAAAGTTAAATCAATCCTTTCTTAATTCTTTTATTTCTTAGAATAATTTTCTATACATTTTCTTCTGCCAGCATTTATACACGTGATTAATAAGCTGGATTAACATGATTTATCCTCTCCTTCCTATTTTTCTTTCCTTGGGTCTCCCCATTTGCAATATATATTGCAACAGTAGTTGAACATTTTTGAGCTTTCACAATAATTCTTGTTATGGTTTTATGATGTCACTGCGATATAAAACTGCCGAATGAATTTCCAGTCGTGTTTCAAATTGTTTCCATTTGCCGATACACAAATATATACTATTTGTCACTATAATTTAAAAGTGTTCTGGATATTATTACTTCACCCTTCCTCTGGTCTCTCTTATACTGAATTACCATCAAGGCAAGTAGATTCAAAACCTTTCTGATTCTTCTGGTTCTTAACTCTAGGAAAATGAATAGACTCCAGGGATTTTCTCTCTCTCTCTCTCTCTTTATATATATATATATATAATATATATATTATATTAAAATATATATAATAATTATAATATATATATATATAAAATATAATATATATATATATATATATGTATAATCCCAGAAGCAGATTTAGCAATTCCATCATTTTAAACAAAATGAATATTAAAATGGTTATTAAAATGTAAGACAACACGTATATGAACTAGATGATACAAACTGTTCTTTTATGCTCTTATTTTCTAGACATCTAAGTATTCAACAGATGCTTGACTTCTATCAGAACTTTGAAGATAAATTTAAGCATCCTTGTTGGTTTAGTATTTATTTAGCATTGGTGAAGACCTTAGCCATGTAGGTAGAGATTGAAAGATCTACTATATACTATAGCCTGCTGGATTTTGTTTCTTTTGTAGTGCTGGGGGGAAGATCATCTCTGGGTAAGTGCCCTGCTGCACATAGGATGCCTACAGTGTGTTAGTGTTCATAAGTCAGACATGTCTAACAATAATTTTAAGTGACTATGGGCATAGCATTCAGCTTCATAGAGCCAGCAAGATTTACCAGACTTATCTGAACAAATGAGAGGCTGATTCTCAGATTCAGAGGTACTCTGATGTGGCATACTCACCGTCTGCTCAGATAGTAAATACATAGGTCAAAAACATCAGCTGCCACAATTTCTGTACACAGCCACTGAAGACATTCCTTCAGTAAGCAAACCCCAGCAATGTCATAGGCTCCGTGAAGGTATTTCTAAAAGTGAAGTAGGCTAGCCAACACAGGTGCACAAAACTTTCCTGGTTTTATTTATTTATTCCTGGTATATAGCCTTTAACTGATTTCATTAAATAAACAAACAAATATATTAAAAAAAAAAAAAACAAAAAACATAGAACAAGATGGGTGATGCAGAAAAACATGCTTGTGCTTGAGATAATTATATTTGGGTATTTGGGAACCTTTCATGACTCACACACTAGCTTACATTAATATGGAGCAATAAATTGTTATATTTTATACATCCATCAATGTGCTACTATTTTTGGTAAAGAGAAGATGAGCTGACTGAATGCTTTGACAATGAGGATTGAACTGCAAGTGAAAGGAGTGTAAGTTTTGGACCAGAGCAAGGACAATTCTCTTAAATGTCTGTCTTGGTCTGACACAAGTAGAAACCTGTTCATACAAAATACGATAGTATAATGGGATCTACCTTCAGGTGAACAAGCCTGCCAGAGCTCAAGATGTGTTTGGACAACACTCTTGGACATACGGTCTGATTTTTGTGTCGTCCTGTGTGGAGTCAGCAGTCGAACTCAATGATTTGTATGGGTTCTTTCCAACTTGGGATGGTCTATGATTCTCTGTAAATATGTCTGGATAGTAGTATAGAGCTGCTGTAAAAATATCAACCCCAGATATGTGGCTGAAATAGAGTATGCTCACCAACAAGCTTTTATTTGCTGCATTGATACAATGGCTTTGCTGGATAAGAAGACCAGAATGACTATGAGTTATGACAGAGTATTTTCTCTTGAAAAAGCTGAGCAAATTTCTTTAAGTGACTGCGGCCAAATTGAGCACTGGCAGTGCAGTAATGAGCCGTGCACTCAACATGTGCTAATACAAGAGGATATCAAATGGATAAAAATGCCTTTGACAAAAAAAAAAAAAAAAAAAAAAAAAAAGTTTACAGGAAGATGTCTCTCATAAAAGTGATTAAGAAATTTAGTGTTTTCTACTCCAAAACAGCCTATAGTAGAAAATTTGTATTGCTTGTACATTTATAATCGTGTCATCTCTTTTACTGTAAACAACAGTTGTTTAAGGGAAGGACACAAGGACAAATCCCTGAATCTGCCAGTCGTGTTCAAAAAAGCCCAGAAGTGATCATAATTTAACTTACAACACCCTTAGAAGAGAGCCTACACTGACAGTAACATGGGACTAGGCAAAGAAGGAAGCAGTCAAGAAATCAAAGAGAAAATTCCCTTTCTTCTTTTCCTTCCATACATTTGGCATGTTGCTGCTCTCTGCTCTACCAGGCCTGTATGGATTCAGCTCATCACCAGGTAAGGAAGCCCATGGGCCAAACCTTATGGAAAAGAAGCATAAATGTGTGTGCCTCAAGAGGAGACACAGGTAGGCAATGGGAATGTAACTGTATGGGAACTCATGCAAGAAAGTTATTTTTTCTGTTTGTAAGGAAGGTCTGTGGATGAGCAAATTTACTCACCCTGATACATAAAGACAAGAACCAGTTACGAGAAAGGAGGGAACGAGAGTTTATAAATGTGAAAGGAAGGAGCGGATACAAACAGTGCAGAAAACTACCAGATGATCAACCCTCTGATCATCTTTGTGGCCCTCCTCTGGACTTGCTCTAATAGGTCTGTGTCCTTCTTGTGTTGCAGGCCCCAAAGCTGAATACAGTGCTCTAGATGGGGTCTCATGAGAGCAGAGTAGAGGGAGAATCAC